TTTATTACCCAAATTTATATTCAGTTTTTTATTCCAGTATTGTTGCGACCCGACACCACCACCGCCACCGCCACTGCCACCACCACCACAATTCTCTTTCCCAATAATCACTAACCAAAACCCCTCAAACCCTCGCCAATCGCCGGCAATGAGTGATTAGGGTTTCCGCAGCCGCTCCTCTCAAGTCAAATTTCGATCAATCCCAACCACCAAAATTCAACCTTCCACCACCAAAAGACTCATTGACCTTCCCTCTTCAAAAGCCCCAAAAGCCTAGATCGAGTTTGCTCTCTATTCGCCGTCGAAATATAAATTTGGAAAATAAAGCGGTATTTTAAAAATCTATGGGTGAACAAGTTTCATTAAGTCATTATTTGGGTAGGAAAAAGTCATTAACTCTTTAAATAAAACGGGAAGGTTAGGGAGCACATTTTTTTTTTTTTTTTATACAAAATATGACACAATTTATAAGTAATTAGCTCAAAGCACTTTGAATGGTTGAGATTCATTAATGCACTTTAAAAATACCATGTTTAGATGCAATCTCAACCATTCAAATATCGTTATCTAACGACTCAAAACTTCTGTAAAAAAATATGTAAAAAATAAAACCTTTATATATTAAAATTTTAAAATTTCGAATGTTTGGCGCTTGATTTCTTTATCTTTGCTTGGGTTACTTGGAATCTTCACCCATTTTCTCCCACCACCATTAATAAACAAGCAAAAGTGACACTCACACTTCTCTTCTTCAACTTCCCTTTTAATTTCTTCTCCATATCATTTACTTTCACTTTCTCTCCTTGGTTCTATGCAAATAATCTTAAGCATGCGAGAGTTGGAAGATATTGGAAAAAAGATTTGTTTTGAATTTTGATCATTGTTGAAGAGAGAATGCTTTCCATGGTCGTTATGATGCTTTTGAAGTCACGTGATAAACATGAATTGTCAATTGGAGTGATTCTTATATGCCATGTTGGTAGTTTCAATTTCCATGGAGGTCTGCGGGGATTTAAGAAATGTGTTCATACGTGTGAAGCTTCTTTGATTGAATTTCAAAACCTCAAGATTTTACCTTATGTTATAACTACAAAGATTAAAGATATGCTAACAAATGCATCTCACAAACTCCACGTGTCACCTGAGTTGGCAATCTCCACCAAAACTGTCGCAGAATGATTTCTACTAGAATTAAGAAATGGTTGTTCCTTCATAAGGAACAATAGTTATGAATAGAGGAATGGTCGTTCCTTGGATGAGGAATGATCGTTCCTTGCACGGAACAATTGTTCCTTGGATGAGGAACGACCATTCCTCATGGAATAGCCATTCCACCTAGAGGAATTCTTCCTACGGAACGGCCATTCCTTCCTCATGGAATGTCTGTTCCTTATACGATGAGCAGTCGTTCATCCCTAAGGAATTGTCGTTTCTTATACGATGAACGATTGTTTATCCCTAAGGAATGGTCATTCCTTATACGATGAACAGTCGTTCATCCCTAAGGAATGGTTGTGCCTTATACAATAAACGGCCGTTCATCCTTAAGGAATGGTTGTTCCTTATATGATGAACGGTCGTTCATCCCTAAGGAACGGCCATTCATGTTTAGTCAAAGCCGTGAATGGACGTGATAATGCCAACTCAGTGCCACGTCGGGTTTGTGAGAGAAAGTTTGTAAGATTCGTTTGTCAGCATAGTATTACTCGACTCCAAAACATCAAATATGAGCTATCAATAAAAAGCTTAATATTTAAAAGGGTTACAACAACCCCTTTTATATTTAATTAAATACAAAAACCCCTGTATAGAGATAACAAAAGTCCCCATATCATTAATCTTTTAGTGTTAAAATAAAGGTCGAACGACATCCTCCCACTCAAACTTTGCCCTTACGACAATTTACTACCCGAAAAGCTTGAAAATGACAATTATCCACTTTCCATTAGAATTTGTTGGTAAAATCCGTTAACTGACATAGCATTATTGATATTCTTTCACCCTTAAAGTGTAATTTTGACTTTTCATATTTTACAAATCCCTAATTTTTTATCCTATTTCTTTATTATCTTTTACTTCATTTTCTCTTTCTTTCCATCTCATATCTTCATCTTCTTCGCCTCTTTTCTTTCTTTCTTTCCTTTCTTCTCCCTTTCTCTTATCTCTTTCTATCTATTTCTCTTTGCACCCGGCCAGGTTTGATTCAATCAGAATAGCATCAGATCAGATGCGATTCTGTCCGGCCGAATGCTATTCCAGCTGAATCACATCCGGCAGGGTACACTCTCATCGTTTTAGCTTCTCATTGCTACACTAATTCTTATTTTTATTATGAAACAAGTTTTAACGTGTTAGAAGTTGATGAAAGATCTTTGTTCTTATGCTTTGATTTATTGTTTTTTTGTTGTATTTATGATTTTTTAGAAATAGGTGTTGGTTTTAGATATTTTGCAAGAGGTTGTTTTGATCTTGTCTACTTTGAAGTTTTTTGGTATATTTGTTCTCGGTATTTTAAGGCGTTGAAGAATTTGGTTTTGGGTAAAAATAATTTTCAATCCTTTTAGAAGTTTGTAAGGTAACCTCATCTTTAAATTTGGTAGAGGTGTGGACAGTGGAGGCTTTGCGTTCAAACAAAGCTTCACATTATGAAGATGAATTGGCTTTGGTTTTTTGAAACTGCTTACTACATATTTATACAATTTCATGAAAATGGTTAAATACAATGTTTTAAAAACCAACCCGAGGCTAAACCTATCAAAGAAGTCGGGTCTCGAGTTGACCGGTGGGTAAAACCGGTGACGTGTCACCTAAAAAAATTTCAAAATTTTTGAGTTCGGCGCATGTTAGCATGGTGACTGTTTCCAACGCACGTTAGCACGCATCAATGCCAGCCTACTTTCCCCTTTTTTCTGATTGTTTTCTCACCCAAAATCACCTTTGTCACCACCATTAGAACCCTCACTCTCTCCTCTTCAATACCATACCCTTTATCCCTTCTCATCACTCACCGATCATCAGCGATGAAAAACGTGTTTTTTCCAACTATCCTTTGCTAGATTTCGACCGTTTTAAGCGACGATAGCTCCAACCACCACCACCCTTAGACTCACCGGCTACTCCCCTACAAAACCCCCAAAGTTCCAAGCCATTCCACCCACCAATCGCTGACAATCAAAAGCTAGGGTTTTGTCGTTTCTTGGCCAAATTCCAGTGATTCTGACAACTAAAACTTAATCATACACCACCTCTAGACTCATCGTGATCCACCCTTCAAAACTCCCTCATGTTTGCTTGTCGAATGTTGATCGAAAGTCGCCATTTTCTAGTGTTTGATTCACCTGGTTTTTTCCAAAAACCAATTGGACCAACGGGTTGCTACAGTACCACTGATCAAACCCCAAGTGAATCTGGGTGAATGCCCCTCCCCAATTTTTAGACTCTCCCAACCCGACTCACCAGCCAAGTCCCAATCGAATCAGTTCAATTGACTAAGCCGAGTTTTAAAACAATGGTTAAATATAACAATTAGTTCTCGATTGACTATTGAAGAGGATGAGTGTTTTGTTCCAATTTAGATTTTTTTTTTTTTTTTTTTTTTTAAAGTGTATATATGTTTCTTGTTAGTTGTTGAATTTTGATTCTTTGCCCTGAAAATTTCATGCTTTATGCCTTTAGTCTTTAACAATTCAAATCCATACTAACAAAAAGAGAAAAGGAGAGAAGCACTCTGCCAAACACATGGCAAGAGAAATTTCAGGAGAGTTTTGTAAAAGATGAAACATTATGGCTTCGTTTGGTTCAAAATTGGGAATACTATTCTTAGTATTCCCAAAAAAGTTAAACAGTAAAATACCCAAAAACTCTCATTTTTGGGAATACTACTTTCAATATTATTCAATTTTTTTTAAACCCTTTAAATTTGTTAATTTAATTATATACCCCTAAATATTTTTTTAAAAATTACAAAAACACCCCAACAATCCATATTTACCAATTGCGGCCACCACCGCCAGAAAATTGCCGGAATCTGGTAGGATGGCGCACTACCGGCTGAATCTGGCAGGTAGTGCGCCGATCTAGCCTTTTCCGGCTAGATCCACGGTGGATCTGGCCGAAAAAGGCCGAATCTAAGGCCAAAGATCTGGCCGTTGACAGCCAGATCTTTGGCCGTAATAGTCGGTCACGACGGCCAACAAACGGTCGTCGTTGACCATCAACGACGATCGTTTGTTGGTCGTCGTTGAGAGCAAATACGGCCAGATCTGGCCGTAGATCTGGCATTTACCAACCAAATCCACCGTGGATCTGGCCGAAAAAGGCCATAGCGGAACATGACCGACAAGATCCAACCGGTCATACGTCGATAAGACGACTCCGGCCACCTCCGGTGGTGGTGGCCGACTGGAGGTATTTGAAGATGGGTTAAAGGTGTTTTTGTTAACTTTTAATGTTCTATTATAAAGGATATTTTGTAAAAAAACAAACATAAAGAGCATTTTATTAATTTATAAATCCTACCTCGTAATACCCGTCAAATTCAACTTTTTTTTAACTTTTTTCAAAAAACTTTTCCCAAAACCCCCAAATTTTGAACCAAACGAAGCCTATTTGTTGTATGGATTTTGGAATTTTAATTAAAATTAATTGTAAAATAAAATAATGAAAATTGAAAAGAGAGAAATATTATAAAATTAATATTAAAGAGTGAACGACACATAACGTTAGATTTTTTTGTTACATAAAAAATTACGATCCTATCCTTCAATTACTAATAGATTCTGACTGAAAATGTGTAATTGTCGTTTTCAAACTTTTTGGATAGTAAATTGCTGTTAGGGAAAAGTTTGGGTGGAGTATGTTGTTTGGCCAAAAATAAATAGTAAAAAGACAATTTGATAAATATTCATTACCCCACCATAACATAAATTCTAACAATACACTAATAGCTCACCAACAACAGGAGAATTCTGCTATTTTGAGAATCTAAGAGGAAGGAAGTTGAGAAAAAACCCCTATTTGAAAAGGAAAATAATTAAATAATAGGATATTAGGTGAAAGCAAGTTGAAGTTTGTACCTATTGGATTTGATATAGTGAAGAAAGCGATCAAGTTGGAGAAAAAGATGGGATCACATTCGCATTCTGGCAAATAAAAAAATAAAAAAATAAAGAAATACAGTCAAGATGCTTGCGATGGGCGAGCTCTAGCAGCGGCTCGCTGCAATGCATTCAACCTGTTAGCTTCCATACGAGCTCTCTGTTCCTCTGTGATCTCAACTTCATCCCTGCAACTACCTCCACTATTCACCACTTCACTTATTGATCCATTTCTAGAGCTACCATTTCCAACATCATCACCAACCATCCCACTCTGCAAGGCCACACAGACATGCTCACTGTAGTTATGTCGAAAAACTGATAAAATCATATAAAACAATTTTATGACTTCACAAAAGAACAGCAAGTTATGGACACCAGAGTCTACTAGAGTTCACAAGGGTTCCATGATCAGGAATTGTAATGAGCCAATACATGTTTTGCAATACTACGCATACAACACTTTGAAAAATACATTCACAAGATTTTCATGAGAAGATCATCAGTGTTTCAGAATTTGAAATCACCAACTGATTAGTCAAAGAGATAGCTAACCACCAGTAAGTTGTAAAATACATAAAGAGTGAAACAGAAGAAAATTTTCAACAAATGAGAATAAATTAAAAAAAAAAAAAAAAAAAAGTTGTAAAATACATAAAGAGTGAAACAGAAGAAAATTTTCAACAAATGAGAATAAATTATAAAAAAAAAAAAACACACCCACACGCCTCCCTTTACCAGTAGTTACACAATCAAAATAAGTAATCAATTTTTCATATTATACTAGACCAACAGGTTGAAAATATCTTGGGCAGCTAATGGAGCTGTAAGCTATTCCTAACTACTAAGAATCATGTAAATTAAAATTTAAGTGAAAAAGTTATTATTTGAGAAAGGTTATCTAAAGTAATAACTTTTCTCAAATAATATAAGAAAACTGAAATCCAACTTCAACACCCATATAAAAAGTAACATTTCTATTCTCTAGTTTGACGATAAACCATTGACCTTAGTGCTAAATATATAGAGTTAGAATAAAATAAAAATTCTATCGAAAGTCATACAATCTTGTTTATCACAACTATAAAACGTGTCACAAAGAAATTGTTATGATTGTGTTGTGGTTTGAGTATGGTAATTAACTTTTTTGCTGTTAGAAATAAAATTTTGTACACTGTCCCAAATCAGTGACCATTTCAAAAGGCTTTAACATGAGAGAAGAGAACTTTAAATCTGTCAACCTATCGACAGAAATATATACTCTTGTTGCCAACCATACTACTTTAAAGAAGTTTGACTACATAAATCTTAATGAGCGTCTGAAGCATCTAGAGCATTGCTCATAGACAACCCAATAACAACTATTAAATTTTCAAAAAAAGAAACAATGATGCATTATTCATTTGATATTTGGGAAAAAGAATAAGTCTGTTCTTATATGATATGCTCTCCAAACAAATTAGAGTATTGAAGCAAAACTTTCACCTGCTTCATTGATGTAGAATCTAATTGAAAAAGGATGAAAAAATAAAAATAAAATCTCTTCACTGTAGACAGCAATTAAATACCTTTTCAGATGTGAGATAGCATTAATTTAATCAACAGTCACTTAAAAATCATGAATACCCAATTTCTATCAAACAATCTCATCTATAATTAGGAAAAGCAATAGCATGTGTTTACATCTATTGCTTTGAACTATTTTCCTTTTCCATAGTAAAGGAAAAATTCATGAAAGAATTCATTTGAAAGATATACTTACTTCAGTAGCTTTCTCGTAAATCTCATCAAGTAGGTCTTTCTGAATATCATAAGCAGCAGCAATGTTAGAAGATGGATCTCCATGGTGATTAAGTGGTCCGTCAGAGCTCATGGCCTCATCATGTGCTGAAAGACAGTTACATTTCAACAACATTCTAAAGCAAAATAAAAATACTTGTCTCTAATCTTATAACATAGATTGGGTCTTGTACTGCCTTATAGAACTACTACTTTCACAACAAGAAATGTGAAGAGAATATTTACCATCTAGAACATATTTTGCTCTCAAATGGACACAGCTTCATGTAAAACAAACTAGAGATTTTAGGAATTTTATTTTACACAATACTACAATTACAAAGTAAATATCCTAACTCTGCATATTAACTGATGTGACAGTTAATAAGTAATGTAACCATGCCAAATCAATTGACACATTACTTGAGGTATAAAGTTTGGATGTTTACTTAGCAAGTGTAACACTACTCTTTCCCATTTTCTTAGGATTTATTTTCATATTTGGGTTGAACTAGTACGGTAGTCTATATTTCCTATTAGATATTAAATTTTTTTTCCAATTTGGTTGTTTCATCCATTACACAAGAGGCATAACTTAGATTTGTTGAATAAATTATTGACACCAAAGAAATTCTTTTCCCCTCGTTTGTCTATTTTCCTCCCCTTTTATCATTTTCAGTTCCTTATCACCCACAATCCTTTTTCTGCATAGATCTGGATAGAGTAGAGATTAAATAGGTCATGACTGGACTGGCCACACAGCCACTTGAATTTCAGCAGGGCAGGCCAATATGACGCCACCAACTTTCAGTTTGAGTCCAGCAACATTTATCCACACTCACAGCAGAGGAATTTTATCACAAGACTGCCTTATTTATTTTGTCCACTTCATAATTACTCATTAGTGCTGTTACAAGTACTGTGGGATCATAGGATTCCACGGCCAAAACATTTGACGTTCTTTATGTCCAATTAATGAGTTAGCAGAAAGATCTTTAAAACGCTCCACTTCTAGGGTGACTGGACTGTAGCATCCAGAAGTTTCACTGTACAACAGAAAACCACTTTCCCTTACTAAAAACCACACCCCTCTGTCTTTGTTCCTCATTCTAAAATGTTCCCTTAAAACACTAGAATCACAGCCCACATTCCACAAAGGAAAAAACACCCATCAAAATGCATCAAAAGAAATGGAAAAAACTATAGTTAACAATAAAAATGAGAAGTGCTCAGATACCTTGGTCAAAAGTTTGATCATTATGCTCAACCGGAGCTTCGTGAAATTTTGTTGGATCCCCTCCAGTGGCAACTCGTTCCCTTAAATCTCTAATACATGTCTGCTCAGGAATGTGGAGAAAATGAATGAATGATAGATCTATAGGCATGGTATGCAAGTTAGACACCATATAATATATTCAAAATATCACAACTTATTCTTTTATTGGTCTCCATTTAGCAATCTGTGATGCATTTCGAAAATTCAACAAATTAATATTATTTCAATTAGTGCAACTCATTTGACATGATAAAGGTTTAATTATGTCTATAATCCTCTTTCTAGATCGGCTCTAACTTGGCTAGAGGGACAGCCACCTAAACCCCATAGAACAAGCAGTTTAAGCATAAATTTTGTTGACTTGGAAATATGTCTAGCATGCCATGTCACAGACTACTTTAGCCATTTAAGCAAATTGTCTAAATTAGTACATGAATATTCTTTTCTTAGAAACAGATTTGAGCCTAATTGCAAAACATATGGACTTTTGTCAAGAAATCATTGTAAATTTCTAGGAGTAGCAAGGATGTATATTAGTTAAGCTACATGTTTTGTGAAAAAAGACTAGAAAATATACTGGAGTTCAGGGTTTGTTAATGTGTAACACAAGGAAAGAAGCTCAGATCATAATCAGGAAAGCAATTATTTTCGAGAGAAATGGTTTCTATAAACAGTTGCTATAGCACAATAACAGGGCCGTTTGAGGTTTCTACGGTTCTATGGTCATAGTTGCAAGGTAAAGAGAGCAAGCTCATGGACATAATGTTTCCGTATTTAAAATCACAAAGGAATAGCTGATTATTACTTACTTGAATTAACACATGAAAGTAATAGAATTGCATACGTGAAGTTCCGAGAAACAAAAAGATAATAAATGATGAGAGAAAGACCAGTTGGTAAACAAGTTAGCATCGAGGGGCAAACTTGTTGAGACATCTAAGGACCCAAATTTGAAGATAACAATAAGTACAAGAGTCTAGCGAGAAAGCTTAATTATCTTACCGTAACTAGACCAAATATCACTTTCACAGTTGACACAGTTAGCATACACAGAATCTTAAGCAGATTCAATCAAGCTGTGTGCAAAATTTTGAGATATCTCAAACAAAATGGTTGGCTGAGCATTTTCTTAACAGAGGGTAACTCCTTGAATATTGTATTTTATTCTAATGCTAATTGAGCAGGTTCCAAAGCCGAGGTAAGATCTATCAGTGGCTACTGCATATTTCCTGGTGATAACTTAGTAACTTCAAGTAGAATAAAACAAACTTCTGCGGCTAGATTCAGTGCAGAGTCAGTACCCTGAAACGTCTAACATTGCCTGCGAATTTATGAGACTAAACAATCCATGAAAGAAATTAAGAGTTGATGTCAAAGGACCCTCTATTATGTTATATGACAACCAAGCAGAAACTTAAATAGCTATTAATCCATTGTTATATAAAGCATTAAACACATAAAAGCAGATTGTTACTTTGTCCGCATGGTGGTTATGGTAGGAGAAATTGTTGCGCTTTATATCAAGTCAAAAGACTAAGCTGGGGACATTATCCCAAAAGCTATGGATAAGGGGAAATATTCTTATCTTTGTTCCAAGTGGGACAGGAGGAGTGTTGAAATAAATATAGCTGAAGTGTATTTAGTTTATATTAACTAACTGGTAGTGTGAAAGGCTAGTTGTATTTTCGTAATTCCAGTTTTCAGGTGGCCTTATAAATTATTGAGAGTCTAGAGAAGCTTCTCGAGAGTTTGAAGATGACTCTTGAGAATTTCCCCTAGACACGAAAAACTATCTTTAAGCCATTCAAGAATTTTCTATATTTTTGTTTTCACAAACAGATTTTTGAATCTTACCACACAATGTAATTTTAAGTAAACAGAATAGTTTTACTAGAACATCCAAAGAATTAATTAATTCTGGTATGTTTTGAACCTGCACAAATCAGAAGTATGTGCACAATCTTATAAAAAACAAGGAATACTTTTATAAATCTTGTGATGGTAGCTTCTGTAGATTCTTTATTGGAATTCTAGATAAGAATATTGTTTTCAGAAGTTATCTAGGTCTTATCCAGCTTTGGAGGTTAAAATAAAAAAGAGATAATCTTAGTCTAGAGTGCTAATCCTAGACTAAGAGTTATCTAATTAGGTCCTAATTTGACTATATAACGATAGTTCTGTAGTACAGCAAGTGATGAAATAAAAATTATCAGGATTTATTTTCCTGATTTCTTTCTTACCAGCTTCAATGTGTTTAACCAATAATGTAAGATGATGTGTGAGTGAAATTAGTATGAGCAAAAGAAGAGACGAAAAGAATATGTTGTGTCAAGGATTGGAAAAGAAAATATTAAAAAGATGGGTTATTTGGTTAACTTGGAATGAAATAACACGTGGTCATTTTTCCCTGAATCCATATTTGTTTACTTATCATATGTAGGGGTGTTCAAAAGAACCGGTTGGAACCGGAACCGACGGGTACCCTGGGTTTGGTTCCGGTTCCTACACAGAACCAGTCGTCAATGGGTAGGTTCCGATTCCAAATTTTTGGAACCGTTACTGTGCGGTTCCCGTTTCGGTTCCTATAGTTAGGAACCAGAACCGAAACCAGGAACCAGGAACCGAGACTAATATAAAATAAAATTAAAGATTAGGGGGGTTAATAAAAACTTTTGTAGAAAAAGTAATGTGAATACATTTATATTTATATTTCATAACATTTAAAGTAAGTTGGTTTGACTTTTGAGAACTTACCTTTACAAAGTAATGGAGTTTGTAATTTTGAATTTATAATTTGTAATTTTATTTTTGTTAACAAGTGCCAGGTGGGGGGGTATTTGTAAGTTTTTAAGGGTTTTTTTTTGCGATTTTAAAAACTTTTGGGAGGTCATGTAATTTTACAGGGTACCCAGAACCGGAACCGGAACCATTGTTATAGGTTCTGGTTCTGGGTATCTAGGAACCAGAACCGTCGGTTCCGGTTCTGGTTCCAAATTTCAAGGAACCGTCAGTTCCGGTTCCGGTTCCTTCAAAAAGTGCAGGGTACCCGGAACCGAACACCCCTAAATTCATATGCATCCTCTGTTATTCGAAGACACACAAAGCATATTGATATTGATTTCAATAGATAGACATTGAAAGGTAGATAGGTGAAAGAACTTTAAAGTCACTTAAGGGACTTAAATACATGACAATAATATTTGCAGTATTTTAGTAACTACAAAACTGAAATCTAAAAGAATGCCAAACCTTTACACGTCTTGAGGCAGCAACTTGTTCCACCTTATGTATAAACTGATCAAACGAGTAATAAGGCAGCAAATGAGAGTGCCATTCACTGTATAAACCAATTAAGTTCCCCAAATCACTAACCTACAAAGAGAGAGAGAGAGAGAGAGAGAGAGAGAGAGAGAGAGAGAGAGAATTATAAGCATTATAGGACTAAGTGATTCATAGGGAAAAAAAAAGTAAAACAAAAAATAGAGAGAAATAAGTATTCTCCTGACTCCTCATACAGAAAAATTATTAGTAGAGAGAAATGACAAGACACTATAATTAAAGAAAACAATGAGCTTTTGTTGATACAATTAAAAGAAACTATTAAATTGTGAAGAGGAAAGTAACCCATGAAAAGAACTTGCATTGAAGAAAATAAAAATTACATAAAACAAAAGGATAGTGCAACTGCAGGTACAAGATAAAGTAATTGTTTTGGTTGAGGTTTCAAGATAGGATAGGAGAGGAGAGGCGAATCATTGCAGCCCTACTGTTTTTACACAACCATAAATTTTTTCATCAATAATTAAACATTGTCCTTCGCAATTGATATATCAATTTCTCATATTGCCTAGTGTCCCACTAACAAATATAAAATAAGTTCTTCTAGTTCACCTCAAGCTAAATAGTAACAGGTCTTTGTCGTCAACCTAATGGTGATGACCATTTTAAGTTATTCTTAAAAAGCATGTATCAAATGCTTTCCTAATTTTAAAGTGCACTTCGGGGTGCTTTTCTACATATCAATTTTGAGCATTCTGGGGAAATACCCAAACAGAAATTTTTAATATCAAGTGATTCATGACTGAAAAATAAATAAATTATTAGCTTGTTATATTCCATTATTAGTGAAAATTTTCTTTTTGACTAGATAAGTAGTATAGCCCTTGATGATTAGATCTGAGAAAAAAAAAAAAATGCAAAGAGGGGTCTAAGATGGTAAATACCTCGTGGCCACGACCCCGACATTTGAAGGCTCGAGGAAAGTGGCGAAGGACAAAACCGAAGCCATCATCAGAGAGAAGAAGATCAGGGGTAAGTTTAGGCCTGGTCCTTGAGACTTTCTTGGGCTTCTCCTGTGTAGCCGTTTTCGAAACATTAACGGCGCCGCTTGTCTTATTAGAATTTGATGGGACGGAGGATGAAGATGATGGACAGTCACGAGACCAGTGACCTGGTCGTCCGCACTTGAAACAACCCGTTGGTACTGCTTTTGCGTTCTCCATCTCTCTCTCTCTCTATGGCGCTCTCTCTTGAAATCAATTTATTTATTGTGATTTTTTTTTCTCTTTTATTGGCTCTGTTTGGCGGGAATTATGAGAGGGAATTAGGCTGTATATCTGAAATCTTTTTGGCATGTTAGACTTATTATTTTTGTCTATATTTCTAATCCTATTCTCCAAATAAAGTTTGGCACATTATTCCAAAAATATTACCCTATTTTTTTAATTAATTTTAGACCCTATAAGGTTATTAATTTCATTAAATACCCCCTAAAAAAAGATTTAAAAATTAACAAAAACACCCCCGTGACCCATACTTGCCAGATTCCGGCAACTACCATCGGTGGTAGCCGAAATCTGCCACAATGGTGAATTACCGATCGAAACTGGCCTGTAATTCATTGATCTGGCCTTTTCCAGCCAGATCCACAGTGGATCTGGTCGGAAAAGGCCAAATCCAGCCGTCAGCGACGGCCAAAGAAATGGCTATCATTTTGGCCTTTTCCGGCCGTCGCGGCCACAGCAGGCCGTAGATCTGGCCTTTTTTGACCAGATTCGTGGTGGATCTGGCCGAAAAAGGCCATAACGACGTGTTACGACACAGATCCGACCGGTCTGTGTTGTAACGCGATTTTTCAGCCAGATTATGGCGGTGGTGGCCGGAATCTGGCACTGCAGGTGGTGGGGATATTTTTGTCATTTTATATATTGGGGTGTTTAATTAAATTAGTAAACCTATGGGCTTTTTTATAAATTTTTAAATTTTACCTCGTAATACTCCCATATTCAACTACCCAATATTATTCCCAAAATCCTATCCAAAATAATAAACCAAATACACCCTTTACTATTTAGGCCTAGTTGGGTCACACCTAGGATTGTAATTGAGTCGAGCCATGCTGAATCTTCAGTTAATCAACCTTGGCTCGATTACAGAAAGATCAAGTTCAAGTTAGAGCCAAGCCTGGGAATTTATGGTTCGACTTGAACTCGATTATTGGAGGGTGCTAAACGAGCTTGAATCCAAGCTCCTTAAACAAGCTTGAATTTGAGCCGGCTCAGTCAAAGCTCATTTGACCGAATTCATTTCAACACCTGCAGTAAGTTTAGATGCCCAGCTTTCCATTTGATTACACTAATTAGCAAACACAACAAATGTACATGACTATATACCTAAAAAATAGTTACTGCTATGAATCATTTAACATTTAGCATACTAGTTTTGTACGACATATTAAGTGAAGTGAACTAAATTTTTACTCTAGTTCACTTGATTAATTAATCTTTAAGCAAAATAAATTGTGGAGTTAGCAGTAACTAATAACTATACATCAAATTACATCCCAAAACATCAAAATATAGTTAAAGGCTATGATTTTGAGGCTGAAAGTTTCAACTGTCCATTCATCAAAATATAGTTGGTTGTATGTTGGGCTGTTTTCTGCCAAAACCACTATTTTCCCACTTCTGCAAACAAATTAAATTCAAGCACAAAAGTATGATGTTGAAGGCACCACATTGCTATGATGTACAAATGTATTGTATATAGTACATAAAGATGAAAATGCTAAAGTTTATTAGTGATAAAAGCTAACAAAAATAACTCTAAGGGTGCGCTTGGTTCAGGAAATGTTTTATTATTGAAAAAATAGGATTATCAACGAGATAAATTACCTTGAAGATTGCAGGGGAATGTTATATCAATATGTTTGGTTAGATTAGTGTGTATAAATAATTAAGATGTTTGGTTGGGAAGAATAAAATATTATCTACTGAGGCTTTTACTGAATTGCCCTTCCTTTTTAATATCATTATAATATTATTATTATTATTTAAATAAATTCTTTTAACCCCCTATATTTGAGAATTTAGCTAAAACACGCTTAACAACAAAGTTTAATTTTTAACAAAATACCCCCAGCCACCTAAGACCACTACTGGCCATCGACGTCAGTCAACAAATTAGTGCATGACCGACGAGATCAGGTTGGCCGTGTGCTGTTTTGGCTATTTTTGGCCAGATCAAAGGCCGAAAACAACTAGATTACTATGGATCTGGCCGAAAACAGCCACAAATAGCTGATTTGTTTTGGCCGTTTTTGGCCAGATCCATGGCGATCTGGCCGAAAACAGCCAAATCATCGCACGGTTGGCTAGATCCTATCGTTCGTGCATCAATTTGGCGACTATTGCCGATGGCCGACGGTGGTGGCTAGCGGTCGGTGGTGGTCTTTGGTAGCTGGGGGTATTTGGTGGCTGTTTTCAGCTAGATCAAAGGTTGAAAACAGCCAAATCACCGTGGATCTGGTCGAAAACGACCACAAATGGTCGATTTATTCTAGCCGTTTTTGGCCAGATCCACAGCAATCTAGTCGTTTTCGGCCTTCAATTTGGCCAAAAACAGCCAGATTGGCGCACAACCGACCAGATCCTATCGATCGTGTGTCAATCTGGCGACTATTGTCAGTGGCCGGCAGTGGTCTTTGGTAGTTGGGGGTATTTGGTTAACTTTTAAACTTTTTGTGGCTGTGGTGCTTTAGCTAAATTCTAAAATGTAGGGGGTCTAGGCTGATTGTTATTTGGTAGACATTTGGGGGCAATTGTGTCCGAAATGGTATTTAATTAAGGGCAAAATAGGTATAAAATTAAGATTACCCCGATAATCTTTAAATATCACCCCCTGAGGAGGTAATCTAATTACCCCCTATTTAACCCATAGTAATCACTATTGGTATTGAAAGATTACCGAAATCTTTTATTACTTGACAACCAAACAAGGGAATGTCCAGAATTAAAGATAGATTACCAGAGTTATCTTTCCATAGCCCTAACCAAACACAACCTAACATAAATAAATCAAACACCACTTAAACCCAAACAAAAATTAATTAAGACGGACCGCGCATGCCTATTGCCACAGCCGATGACTGACGAAGGGATTAAACAATCTACTGAATCCCATCAACTGACGGGATAGGAAGCGTAATCTACAATGGTTGCTACTCTTTCTGAAATGAAAAAGGAGAAAAAAATTAAAGTTTAGGTTAGAATAAAGTAAGTGTATATATTGAGTTGAACCAAAATTATAATCAGTGGAACCTACTTTGCACTCTTTCTTCACCCCATTCAAAGAGCGATACTAATCACACCCACATAAGAGCATTTGCACCGTGTCGGGAGACAACAAAGATCAATAAGTGTCAATAACCCTACTCCTGGCACTAAAAGCAGACTCTAAAACAACTGTAGTGATAGGGATGGCTAGTATCTCACGAGCCATTGTAACAAGATAGGGTACTTCGTTGAATTTGCCTTCCACCATTGTAAAGCATCAAACACATCACAATCCCCTACACACTTATGACATCCCTCTCCCAAATAACAGTCCAACTTAGACTTACTTGGCTCAACAGTCTCAACCATGTCAAAAAAATTTGTAAAATCATCCCAACCCTCGCTTCCATTTGTTGTTGGCCCCTCACCAACTGCTACAGGTTCATCCCTCACTAATGTAGCCCCGTGGGCAATAGTCGATGCTTTAGTAGCTTTAACATACTCCCCGTATAGCTCATACAATGCATCCCGAATAATTACAATATTTGCTTGTGCTTCTGACTCAGAATACATCTTAGGGAATTACCACCAAATCACCCTCATTTTCAACCTAGGATCCAATACAGTAGCCACAACCATCATCACATTACATTCCCCCCAATATTTATCAAACTTTTATTTCATTTTCCTAACCATGTTTCTAATAAAATCATCATCATCTTCACTCTTTTTATCCAACATAACTTTAACTAGACATACCTCCTTTAGAAATAAATTAGATGTCAAATAATCACTCCCTAAAATGAGATCAGTTGTACCACTGAAAACTTTTAAAATGTCACAAAATTTCTCTACTTTCTCCCAATCGTCATCTTTGGGACAATAATGATAACTTGGATCCCTTTCTTTCAATCTTGGAAACACCTATTTGAAATTAATTGTCGTTGCCAACATTTCATATGTTGAATTCCACCTTGTTTTACAATGAAGAATAAGCTTTTGAAATGGCAATTTCTGAACAATCTCTAAAAAAACCTTAAGCCTACTCTCTGAAGCATTGATATATGACACACTATCATGGATGTCGTCAATAATATGCCTAATTTAATAAAAACCATCTTGAACAATCATGTTCAAGATGTGTGCACAACATCTTACATGAAACAATTTATCTCCATAAATGCGCTTCCTCATAACTTCAAAATTTTCCCTTAAGACTCTAATTGCAACATCATTCTTGAAGCATTACCCACTGAGATCGTATGGACCTTATTCTCAATTCCCCATTCCATTAGGCACTTGTAAATAGAGTCAGCAATCGCGACATCGCCATAGGGAGGAGGTAAATGAACAAAATTTAGGACACGTCTGTTTATCCTCCAATTACCATCTATCCAATGCCCAGTCAATACCATATACTTCATCTTCTGATTGTCTGAATTCCATAAATTTTTGGTCAAACTGATCTTTCTAACACTCTTCAACAACATCTTCAACTTATGATTCTCACTTTCATATACCTTTACACAATCATTTTTACAGGTATTACGGGAAATCGGACACCATTCAGGAATCCCATACTTCATCATGTTGTTCAAATCATCTTCCTCAACAACCATGAATAGATGCTCATGCATAAGCAGCCAATGAGCGATAAGCTCCCTCATCTTCATCATGTCAAACTTGCATATCAGAGCAAGCATGATAGAAGTTCCAACATCAGAATCGACAACGGGAAAACTAATAGATGTTGCCTCATGGAAGCTATTCTCCTCACACACGTTTCAAATGTCTAGAAGACTGGGTAGTGCTTCTGGTAGCATTAATTGTTAGTTTGGCCTTACAGTGGATACACTCAGCCTTCTTTGTACCATTAGGGAGAACCACCTCTTTAAATTCTATCCAGACCACTGATGTCTTAGCTCTCTTTCTCCTGTGAATTGGATTGT